AAAGATCATGCCCAGATTACTAAATCACCTTTTTTTAGCTCTCTTAAACCTAGCAAAGTTCTTTGATACCATAGGCTGAAAATTCATAGATGTGATCCATTGTTTTTACCGTGGCTTTGTATTTATTAATTGATAACACAACTTTCCCTCTGCACTGGTCATATTCTTCCCTTGTCTTTCTAAAAAGCATGTCATAGGTCTAGACATTTCTAACTAATTTTCACATTGGCCATTATTTCCTGTCCTGATGGCAGGATGTTGCTGAGACAGAGGCCTAAGAGACATTAAGATGCCTTAGAACACACAATGATATAGTGCTAAATGAAAGGGGTTTTGGTCTCCTTTTAAAGAAAATGCTCTAGTACACAAAATCATATGTCTATGACTCTGTAAAATGTAAATGTACTTTATGATGTTCTATCTGTTTCAATATGTTGTATATTAATACAGCTGGTTGTCTTTGTGGTATGAATTGTTTTCCTTTTGTGGTCTATACAGGGAGGAAAGGTCTTGCTAGTTATATGAACCAAGTTGCATTATGTGCCTTTTATGTAAAAAAAAATTACATTTACAGTTTTAGATCCTAGGAAGCTTTATTTAATTGTCTCCTGAGGCAATAATCTTTGTTTCGGAATTCTCCTCCCCAGACAGTACTTCAAAATCTTACATGTCACACATTTTTTTCCTACTATTTAATTTTCTGTTTTTGAAAATCTTGTTTAATACAAGATGAAAAGCAAAAGCAATTACAATCAATTTACCCTAATTTAAATAACAAATCATTTCTCCATTATTTTCTGAAACTAGATTGAGCAAGGTTTTGAGACTACCTTTGGTTTAGTCAGCAGCCTCTTCCCAGCATTTTGGGGTTTATTTACCAAGTTAAATTGTCACTTTTCAAAGTGAGTTTTCACTCAACTTAGTGAATGAGGTGATGCTAAGTGAAAATTTACCCTGCAGAAAATGCCCAATTATGTGCAAGGAACATTTAGAAAATGTGTATGCACATGATTGGATTGAGCTGCACATTTCTGCGCACCACCAAATATGTATGGTGTGAACAGCACATATGGAAAACAATTGTTCTTTATGTGCCATGTTTACAAAAAACATGTGCTTTTCAAAAAGCGCAGTTCATTGGAAAAGGCCGTCAGTCAATTTTCACATCATGCTCAACTCCTTTAGCAAATCAACCCTATTTCTTCTGATGGGTGTGTTTATGATTACCTAATTGTAATATTCACAGGGGCTCTCAGAGCACCAGGTTTATGTCAACCAGAGGATTTCTTAGGGTGCTGGTTAGGCCAAGTGGTAAGGACTGGTGAATAAAAAACTGTAGGCTGTGCACTTTTAATGTAAGATGAAAAGAAAGGAGGGAATAAAAGACTCTTAAAGTGTATTTGCACTTTTGCAAGCAAATTCGGATAACACCTATTTTATAATCGCTATATGTTCTCATTCACATAGCATAAGCTAAACAAAAATGTAAAAATGCTTCCTGCAGTTCAAATTGCTTTTACTTGGGTTAGGGTTTCTACTTGGCTTCTTAAGGGTTAAAATTTCTACTTGCTTCTCCTACTCTATATTACTACTACTTCTCCTACTCTTTGTGAGGGGAAATATCAGCAAACAAAGTAAGAATTGAGACACCGGCACTCCAATTGCAAATCATAAACGTCTGTTTATTGAAGTAAATGCAGCATAAATACACTCCGTGCAACGTTCGTTTCGGGAGCTCTAAGGATCCCCTTCATCAGGCAGAACAAGTTACGTTGCACGGAGTGCATTTATGCTGCATTTACATAAATAAACAGACGTTTATGATTTGCAATTGGAGTGCCGGGGTCTCACTTTTTACTTTGATAGTGACGGTTGCTAGCCATCAACAGCCACAGCACCCTATGCTACTACTTGGAGAAAGCGGCTTTGAATGCCATGGGTTCACTGACTGTATCCGAATCAGCAAACATTTTTTCTCATATTTGCTGATCCTCTGCTCGGCATCCTGAACACCCGCCTCCCTCCCGTCTGTCACAGGAGAGTCACAGCTGCTCTTTCTTCCGCTGGGTGCCGGCTTCATGTTCGGATGTGTATCCCCTCTGATCCCCATTGTCTCTGCTGATACAGCAGGGATCGGAGGGCACACAGACCGGAGCATGCAGCCGCCTCCCATCGGTGGAGAGAGCTGCAGAGTGGCAGTAGTGGTGGCATGATTGGGGGGTGATTTTCAATGAATAGCTGTCATAATTGGCTTGTGAGCCACAGATGACAGCTGTTCATTTACACAGAAGAATCAGGGGACACTTCTGCTGGAGTGACCATGAGCTTATAGCAGAAGGATGAATGCAGCTGATGTATGGCATACTGAGCTGGCCAGCTGGAAATGTTTGTGTTCTGCTGTATACCTTACGTCGGTAGTAGGGAAAGGGTTAATGCTGTGAATGAGAACAGAGACACAGACAACAATAAAAAAAAGTTTTTGTTAAAGTGGGAAATAGATCTCTGACATGTATTATTGCTGTATTGGAGATAATTCCTCTCACTTCCTGTCTGGACTTGAAAGTGAGGAGAAATCAGTCCAGCAAGGACACAAGTGACAATGAAAATCGGACACAACCATTCAAAAGTCTTCAAAGCTAAAAATAAAATTTTGGCTAGAGTTCCAGTATAGGAACATTTTAATTTAGCTGTAGCAAGTTCTTAGACACGGTTGACAACTGTATATGTTAAAAGTGATTGTAGAGATGTAATGCCACTTTGGGCAAAATGGATCTACATGTTTTTAAGAAGAATTCAAGTTACTTTCCCACAACCACCAATCATGTTCAGTCTTCGGGACTTGAAGTAACTCCAGTTCTTACTAATAGGTTATTGATACATCAGGTCCATTGAGATTATCCGGGCTATTCACAGGCAGGAGAAGTGAACAATCTAGGAAAAAATCGCTGATTTGGAAAAATTCTCCAATTCAGCTCATTTTCCAGTTCAGCTATGTTGTCCTAAATTGTTAATTCCTGCCTTTTCCAAACTCTTCACCCTGTTTATATATATTCATAGGACAAGTATTTGTAAGATGGAATGCAACATTATCTTTTAGTTATTATTTTCCTGTGTCTGTAGGACATTACTGGAGTGCATCCACAGGCAGCATGTGATGGTATTGGTATCCTGTTAAAAAACAACATGATCTGAGGATGCTGAGCTGTACAGAACATTCTCTTACCTCATCCCACGTTCTTTGCAGTGCATGTGTGTAGCGTGGCAACGTGTGTTCTGTAGACACATCTCACTTTTTTGGCTGCATGTCATTTGGCAGATTTAGAAATATTAGGATTGAGGCAGTGGGTGGATGTGACTAAAACACAACAGCTTACTAATATGATTCCCTTTCTCCATGTTGTGTGAAAGAACATTCATCTGTGTAGCTAAAATGTATTTGTGGAAAATCAGTGGAAACACAAATGGTACAGTGCATGCTCGTCAGTTTTTATACCTCTGATTATATGTGTTTTATTCCTATTACAAGGAAATGTTTTAAATCAATGTTTATAAGGGCACACAGTTTCCATCTAGGGAAATAATAGATAAAAAGTGGATCTAAATAAGGCTGCGCAAGCAGCTAGCACTGTAATTTCCTCTTGTTTGTACTGTTCAGACATTTGTAATTGCAGACATCATGATCATGTTTGCAATTTAGGGTTCAATCCATAGTGGATCACGTAATAGTGGACTATCAGAGAAATGGTAGCAGATCTGGCAACTATGGTAGTTTGACGTCACTGCTAGGAGCTACAAGCAGGTAGCAGGTGATTCGACCCAAGAGAATGATCAATAACTGAAATTTGGTTGGCCTGAATGTGTAAACATTTTTAAAAATTCTCCTTTCTAGGACTGGAAGGACAGAGGAGTAATGTTGTGCAGTACTTTTTTACAGTTCCTAATTCCATAACTACTTCCTGTGCAGGGTTCAATGTTCAGGACTTCACTTAAAGTGATATTAAACCCTGACATATTTTAAAATAAATCAATGCTACAGTATGGTTCCTACTGTTATCCACCTCTGGGACCTCTGGGCTGCTGTTTCTTAAAAATCTTCAGAGTTCAGAATGCTGGAGGAATCTTCCATTCTGCAAGTGCCTCCATCCTCCCTCTGTGTTCCATGGAGTCACTCCGTGTGTGCGCTCCTGTGCTAGGACTACAGAATTATGTAAGAACGCAGCCTGCCCGACCTGTACCGGACCGCCTACTGCTTTTAGCCCTTCTGGTTAATGCCAGAGCTCTTTGACGTCTTGTGCTGATTATATGCATTATGCGCTTCTGCAAAAGGTGTTAGGGAGCAATGGCATGTTCTGCCTGTAACCTGAGGTGCCATCTCCATTAGAGCAAGGTGCAGGTTGAATGTCTTTATATTAGGTGTACATATTGCAGAACATTTAAAGCATTCGTTCTGTTAAGATGCTGGGAGCAGCTCTGATTTTCAGAATTCTATTTGGTGCACCAAAGCTTTTGCTTTAGAAATTCAATAAAATCAATGGATCTGCAAGGCCAAAGTGCTGAAGAAAAGAAAACTGGGTGCCCCAGTTGTCTGCTTTGGCTTTTGAGCAGCTAAGGTTTATATGGTTTGTGAGGAACCGAATGGCATGGATCTATGTATGAGGGAACAAAGCACCACTGTATGTGTTTCCCTGTTTCTTCTTACATGTGCAAACCCATTAAAAATAGGAATACACTAAATTATGTAAAGAGTGCAACAGAAGATTTCATGAAAACATTATTTCTTAGGACAACATTTTGTAACATAGACACTGATAGTTTCTTCCCATCACAGTACGGTAAAAGAGCAGCTCGTAAATACAAGTTGCATTTCATTTTGAAAACCTGTAATTAAGACATTCCAGCTATAAACGTGTTGAAGATCATTGACTCCCATTCACAGTAAACTGTCTAAACAGAGAATTTTTATCTTTGTGTTTAATTCTTGTGTTTCTCTCTGATTTCAGGGATATAGATAATGGGCTGTGTGCAATGCAAGGATAAAGAAGCAACCAAACTGACAGATGAAAGAGATAACAGTTTAACGCAGAGCTTAGGATATCGCTATGGGACAGACCCCACCCCGCAGCACTACCCTAGCTTCACTGTGACCACCATTCCAAACTACAATAACTTCCATGGGACTGCAGGGCAGGGACTTACAGTCTTTGGAGGCGTGAATTCTTCGTCACACACAGGAACATTGCGTACAAGAGGTGGGACAGGTAAGACCCAAAAGATGCCTAACATGGTTTGCATATATTCCTGTAAATATTGTGTCAGATTACTTTAAACATCCAACTATATGCAAAGGTATCGGAAGGCCAGGTTTAAGGTATCAACATTCCATAGGCACAAAAGCAGCGATTTGCCTTATTATGGAAACTTGCATCAATGTAATTACACTATCATTATTTTTAGTTACATCTATTTATTTACCAGTGTGTAGCTACAAATATATGAGGTTTTTTTTAAATATAGGGGTCTATTCACGAAGCAGCCGAAGGATCTAGCCGTAGCTTCGGCCGATCCTTCGGCTAGCTTCGGCCCCAGGACCCCTTCGGTTCAGTAGAACCGAAGGGCTGCTGTACGGGCTATTCACAATAGCCCATACAGCTCCATGCTAGTTTACTATTGGCTATTGCAAATTGAAATAGCCAATAGGAATCTAGCAATGCATTCCTATGGTCAAATGTATTAATTTTTTTCTATTGTTACACGGCTCCGTGTCAGAATAAAGAAAAAAAAAAAGAAAAAGCAGTGTTTCTCTCCTGGGCAGCCGGGAGCGCGAGACTCCCAGAGCGCCTGGGTGAGTTTTTTTTTTATTTTTATTTTTTTTGGACGGCAGCAGAACCGCTGGCCAATAGAAAACTGTTGGGCGGAGCTAGCTGTCATTGCTAGCTCTGCACAATCGTTTCCTATTTATTTTTTGTACTTTTTAAACTATTTTTCTGTTCTGCTCGGTCCCTCTGAGGGACCGAGCAGAACAGCCGAGCCACTGCTCACTTCCATTCACTCACTGCTGTTCGGCATCTATAAGAATAGACAGAACAGCAGCGAGTAGCCTGCCGGAGGTTCGGCTTAGCCGATCCAGATGTTGGATCGGCTGAGTC